GTGCTAGACACTGTTCTACGGGCAGGAGAATTGCTGTTGGAACCAATTAAGATTTTCTTCCTGTACTAGAAGTAGAAAGTAAAAACTCCAACATAATTTACCTGATAGATTTCAGCTTGAATATCTGTGATCTGCTGTAGTCTGGAGAAGTTCACAAAGCAAGAATCTGATTTCTTAGATATATTTAACATATCCTATTGGTAAGTGAACAGAGAAAGCAGCAGCATATTAGAAAAAGTTTGTGTGCATTAGAGCAGATTGCCTGTGGGTCCAAAATATGAGGATATATTATATCCTGCCCCTGAAACATGAAATAGAACAGTAGCAATGTGTATGTCCTGTTTGTAAAACCTCCACTATCACAAATCCCTTGCCCAAATATTTAAAAGATAAGAAAAACATTTTGTACTATTTCCTAAAATACAATGCACAATAGATATGCATTACTGATAGCTTACCAGAAAATTCTAAGGTTTGAGGTTGCTGGAGAATCATTCTACACAAATGACTAAGATTTAGTCTCTCAGACCTTCCTGGTGCTAAAATCAAACACTTCCCAGGCCGTGGGATCATTCGCCTGATTCATTAAATGACCTCTGTGGACTGCAAGTCATTTATACCATCTCTTTCCACATTCTCACCCTCTTGGATAAAGGAATGTTTTGTCCATGCATTATTCTTCTTCTAAAAAGCCTACTCCCACCTTCTTTTTATCTTTTCATTCTGTTATACTGCTATCTTAAATTGCAGGTTATCTCAGAATAAGAATCTTATCTTGTTCATCCCTTGGCTTCATCCATAATTTCTTGTATCCTCTTCTTCTTTTCTAGAATGTTTCCAACATGAAGAATTTCAGATATCATATAGTCCAGGGGTTGGGAAGCTATAGCCTACAAACTAAATGCAGCCCATTGACTGTTTTTGTATAGCTTAAGGGCTAAGAATGGTTTTTACATTTTTTGTTGAAGGAAAAAAATCAAAAGAAAAATTTTCTGACACATGAAAAATTACATGAAATTCAAATTTCAAGGTCCAGAAATAAAGTTTTATTGAAACTCAACTTCTCTTGCTCATTTACTCATTCTCTCATGTTATTTTCACACTGCCGTAGCTTAACTGTGACCTTATGGACTGGAAAGTCTCAAATACTTTCTCTCTGGCCCTTCATAGCAAAAGTTTGCTGACTGAAGATAATCACTTTTATAAACATTTATTGAGTTAGGCAGTGGAAGATTCAAGGATGAATGAAACAAGCTCTCTGCCCTTAACAAGCTCATGATGGATGGGAGGGAAAAGGCATTCCCGCTGGAAAGAACCAGACATTATAAATGCTCAATAACTGTCAGCTAGTACTAACATATACATGAGAACAAGGGGAAGATGACTCTGGAAATATAGTTTCCTACATAATTATGGAAGATCTTAACAGCTACGATAAGCAACCATAATGCAGAAAATGAGAGCAACTCAAAGTTTTCTGATGAAGTATATAATAATATAACACATATTTTAGAAATAGAATTGGGGTTAGTATGGAAAATAAACTTAATGGGGCTGCGGGGAGGAAGAAATGGGGAGTGACTGCATAATGAATATGGGGCTTCCACTGGGGATAGCAAAAAAAAAGCTGTGAAAATAGTTTCACAACAGTGTGACAAACAAAACCTACTCTGGTAACTAACCAACAACATCAAAAAAACAAGCAAATAGCTAGTGGAGGTAGACTGGAGGTTAGATACTTAGACAGGTGGCTGCTACAGAATTCCAAGTGAGGAGATAAGAATGTGAACTAGGTCAGTAGCAGTTAAAAAGGAAGGGCAGAGCTATTAGTCCCTGGGAAGATGGAATTCATAAGTCCTAGTTGATACGGGAAGTGAGGGATAAAGTCAGGTCAATACTGACTTCCAGGGACTCTGCCTCAGGTGACTCAACAGATAGTTATGCCATTCACACAACACAAGATATTTCACTAATGGCAAAATTGAGGATTGTGGAGGCTAAGTATTAGCTCCACTTTACAATGCCAATGCATATCAGGACTGAAATGAGAATACATCTAATCTGCATTTCCATCATACCAATTTGATTCTTTTACTTTTCTTTCTGCTCTCTCTTAGGTAGAAGGTAAACGTAAATAAAACATTTTCCATTACTCATTGTAATCTACTCACTCTCTGGTCCCTCTCCATCCCTACATGTTTATACACTAATACAACTAATTGCACACATGCAAATTAGTAAATTCTTGGGTTCATCAACAGGGTAATGGAGATAAGCCAAGAACATGCAAAAGAAATCAGAGAGAAAACAAGAATTTTCAAGACAGGGAGCCAAAGAGGAGGAAAGAAAAAGCAGCCAAACTCCTCTAGTAAATAGAAATTTGAATTACTTGAGAATTATGACTCAGCCCTACACCTTAAAAAAGGGGGTGAAAAAAAGCAAGGATTGGGGAATACTGGAGTCTTTACTGTTGACGACTGCCATTATATATTATATTATATACTTTACATGCCACTGGGAGTCTGTTTAGAGTATTTGTTTACTCTGCTGCTAGAAGATGAAATCCAAAATCTTTATGTTTAACATAAAAATCCTGATAACACTGTGTGAGATATGTATATATAAACTTGTATCTATAGGCATGCTTTCTTCTTTTTTGTCCTTTCCTGTTCATACTAAATTCTAGCTGGGGGACACTAAAAGGGAGGCAGTATAGCAGAGGCTCGTTTTAAAACGGGGGAAGAGGGTACAGAGAAGCGCAGTATACAGACTGAGAAAATAGATTGTGTATGTGTGGTAACCTTTCTTTTTATTTTATTAGAAAATAGATTCTGAGGGGTTTGGGGAAGGTCCAGATCCTTATCTTATGAACTGCTAGTAGACGGACTTTGATCAAGACACTGTGACTCACTTAAGCTTGCTGGAATAATATCAAGGACGTAAGGCCACTAAAGCACTTCTAGGTCATAAGTGAAAGCAGTATCCCATGTTATCCTACAGACAGTTAACCCCACCTTTCTTTCACTAAATCACCCTCCAATGGATAGATCAAAACAGAACAAAGCTCAACAAGCTACACTGTCTAGAAGAGTTGCATCATACCACAATTTTAACCCTCACTCTTAATTTTTAATGTACATAGGATGATGCACACTTAAGGGATAGACTGTTTAAGGGGATCATATAATACATCATTTTGAAAGAATTAATGATAAATCTCTCTAATAAAAATAGGTTTTTATAAGTAAAGTTTGCTTAAAGTAAAATCTCATGCTACAAATCTGCAGTTTCCTTATTGGGTCTAACTGTGCAGTAAGATTGTAAGATGGTCTTAAGGAGCTATGGATTGGCAGATGTTACCGGTAGGCAAATCAGGTTAACTATCTAATTAGTGTTACTTGAAGGACACTAGAAAGATCCTCCCCAAAACAACCACCAGCCCAATAAACAGCTCACCATCAACGTCTAAAATTCTCTCACCAGAGACTCAAATCCTTGGTCTAGGTGTTTATATATTCTACCAATATGTTATAGAGGGTTACGTCCCAAACATCTTATAGTATGAATTTACCAAATTACTTTGTTACAGAACTGGATGATACAAGTAAAGGTACTAGGCAATTTGGCAGGAAGAAAACACAGAAGTGAGGAAGGTAAGAACTGGGGGTGCTGTGGCTGGTTTTACTTTGCCTATTTTCCAAGGCATTCTTTACTACTCCTTGTTTTCTCCCGAACTCCATTAGGTCTAGTTAGTAGGTCTTCAAGTAATCTAGAAGAGTTCTCCAACGGAAGTTTCAAGATAATGTCACAGTATCATGCATCACAGTTTATCTTAGAGATAATACTACATTATGTATCAGTAAAGGGAGAGCTCTGGGATCTAACTCTACCAGTTGAGTAATCTTGGATACATTTTTTTTTGTCTCCTTAGGTCTTAGTTTCTTCATCTTAAAATTACATAAGTAGATAGTAGAATTCTCTAATGATTCTTCTAAGTATAAAAAGTTGTGCAATTTCCATAAATATTCCATCATGTGCATATTGCTAATCTCTGCAGATCATTTAACCTTCTACTTTTCTCAGTTTCCTTTTTAGTGAAATTCCTCAACTCCCTCGTTATCTCAAAATTTCTTTCCCTTCTCTCAATCCCACTTTCCCCATTCCTTTATCATGTTTGTCATTTCTATTTCATTATTTCCTCACATCTTCAATTTCTCCCTTCCTTGGCTCGTTCCCTTTGGCTATGAACATGCTCTTCCTGCCGAACCTAAAAACTACCAGCCCTTTGGCTAGTCTTACTCTTTTCTCTTCAAAATTAATCCCTTCCTCCATTCATGTTCCAAGGTCTTTCGGCTCTTTTTCGACAATATATTTTTTTTCCGGCCTTTAAATATGCGTGCTTTCCCCCGCCGCCCAGTGATGTTTCTTGTAATGTTTCAATATTTCACACAAACGAGCCTTGTTTGGGAACGTAAGTTTTAACTACCGTACCTCTATTTCCCCACCACACCACCCAATACAATCTAGAAGCGGTATCATCACTGGATGAAAACAAGCAGGGAGACATCAGTCTTTATTATTTCCCACGAACTGACCTGGGATAACTCGTCTGAAAACTCTTGAAACACCATCTGTTCAGAGCCCCGCTTATGCAGAACCCACTGAGGACCAGTCACTTTTGCTGCCTGCAAGGAGTTCCACCTGCCTCGACCCTAGTACAGCCCCCAGCCAGCACCCTCACACCCACTCCCGCAGCCAGCCGCACCAACTCACAGCCATCTTCTGTCGCCACGGTGTGCACCCCCTTATTGACGCCATCGCCCCCACACACCTGAGTGACCACCCCTGAAGCCACGAAATGGCCCAGCAGCAGCCCGGCAGCGTTAGGCGCGGACGCTGGGTCCCAGGGGTTCTCCGCAGCCATGGCTGGAAGCCACCTTCTCCGATGGCGCGGAGAGTGAGTGGAACGCTCCGCGCGGCTCGATGACGTCACAGGGCGTTTCCGCCCGGGCGGAAGCTCAGGGAGCGCATCCCCGGCGAGCGCGGGTCCGGAGTTTTCCTTTGTACAGCCGGCTGTAAGCTGAAGGGTAGAAGGCGAGTTCGAGGATCCCAGATCCTCCCTAAGCAACTAGCGGCTTCTAGCCTGGGCCTGGTGTTCTTCCCTTTCTTCCTTGCCACCCTTGGGCTGTCCCGCAAGATCCAGGCATTGGCAGGAGGTGACAGCTGGGGCTTGAGACCCAGCCGGGAGGCCGATGGGGAGGCTGGGTGCCTGGACCCAGCGGTGACAGCCGCGCTTCCTTCCCGCAGGGACCTGAACCGCGGCGCTAGGATGGGAAACAGTGCCCTCCGCGCTCATGTGGAAACCGCGCAGAAAACTGGTGTTTTTCAGCTTAAGGACCGTGGGCTGACCGAGGTGAGACTGGGAGGGACCTGACTAGAGAGTTTTAAGGGAGAGGGACGGCGGGCGGTGAAGTTATTAGGTAAGGGACTCTCCGCGCTGTGAACCCCTTTCTTCAGTTCCCCTCAGAGTTGCAGAAGCTGACAAGCAATCTCAGGACCATCGACTTGTCCAACAACAAGATCGAGAGTCTCCCGCCCATGATTATAGGGAAGTTCACTCTGCTGAAGAGCCTCTCCTTGAACAACAACAAACTGAGTATGGCTTTTGCATCTGGGAATCTTTTGCTAGTGCTCAGCTATTAAGAAGGGTGGTTTTTCTTTTGGAATAGAATGTGGATTATGATTATAATGCTATAAAACTGGTTTTCAAATAAATGTATCAGAATCTTTAAAAAAAAGGTGGTTATTTTCTTACAAGCTGATTTTTGTTGTTGTTATGAAACCGTTCAGAAGCTCAAGATGTAAGAGAATATTAGAATCCTAGAAGCTTTCTATCTCTTGTAATTACATCTGTAAGCCTCCTCTGGTAGTGTAAAGATTGGTACTTGGTTAATTTGGATTTGAAAGAGACCATCTTTGGGATGTAATGTAAGCAGCTAATTTTTCTGCTAATTTGAAAGGGAGGATGGGATGGAAAGGAGAGGGCCTTTCAAATCCCACAAAATTGCTGTACAGTGGCCTCTTCACAAAGGGAGCCCTTTATATACATGGTGCTTTCCTGCATTTTGATGGCACCCTCACCTTCTGAAGACTATGTTGGTAAAAATACAGTACTTAAAAATGGCACAACATATGAAATGCCTATGTATATTAACAAGAGGCATAGCAGGCTGCTATATAGTTTTTATTAAGTTCATCAAAGGTGTTTTTCAGCTATATTGGATTCAGGTTTTTAAATTTTTCTTTGCCAGCTGTTCTTCCTGATGAGTTATGCAATCTGAAAAAACTAGAGACACTAAGCCTAAACAACAATCATTTGAGAGAGCTGCCATCTACCTTTGGGCAACTGTCCGCCCTTAAGACCCTGAGCCTCTCTGGGAACCAGCTTCGAGCACTACCACCACAACTTTGTAGTCTGCGGCACCTGGATGTACTGGATCTCTCTAAGAACCAGATTCGGAGCATCCCTGACGCAGTGGGGGAGCTTCAGGTCATTGAACTCAACCTCAACCAGAACCAGGTCTAGAACTTAAGGATTTTTTTCCTACATCATATATGTGGGTTTATGTTCTCCTAAATTACTTGTTGTTCTCTAAACTATAATCATGGAGCGGGGTATCAGAGGCTAGGAGAGAGGTGTATTCTGTGGGCTGGACTAATTTCAAGGCCAAAGTGTTATGAAGTTAGTTGAGACACTGGTATGTTTGTTGTGTAGGTGTTTTTTGGAGGGTGGGATGGGTAACAGGGTGAGGTAATTTCAGATGTTAAAATATTATCTCACAAATTTTGAGTTTACAGATCCTCCTCAAATAATCTAGCAAGAAGCTATATCAGGAAGGTAAGAGTGGAAAAGAGGCTTAAACTCATACATTCTCAGGATTGGACATCAACGTTAATTCAGTTGTCCTTTTTCTGACATTTTTGTCAAGTCTGTGTCCTGCTTTTGCTGAAAAACTGTCAGTGATGGGATTTTTGGAGATAGCCCATTTCATTGCTGGAGAGCTTTAATTTTAATATTTGAAATTTGTTTCCATAACTTCAGAAGCTCTTTGGTTAATATGTATCTAACTGGAGAAACAAACTTTGATCTGGACATAAGGCATAAATGATGAAACATTAATCATAGTGAGTCAAGGTGATCTTGTTTTTCTAGTGTCTATGCTTCTAGATCTGCAGAGTCTATTACAGTAGCTACTAGTCACATGGCATTAAAATTCATTTGAATTAATTAAAAAACCCAGTTCCTCAGTTACCACTAGCCACATTTCAAGTGCCCAATAGCTATATGTGGCTGGTGGCTGCCATATTTGGTAGAACAGATACAGAACATTCCAATCATTACATAAGTTTTATTAGACAAAACTGTTCTAGATTGTTGTGATCTTACATTACGATGAAATTCAGTCTTTGAGGAGATTGGCCTTATATTTTCCTTAAGGTGGATATTGTATGTTCTTGAGCTTTTTGAAAAAAAAATTCAGAAAAATTTCTGAATATTTGAGAAAAAATATTGTTAAACTAGTTGAATAATCATTTCACTCACCTATGCTGCCTCAAATGGTTTCCAGATTTTAGTATCAGAATAACTGGGAGAGCTTGTTAAGAGATCACTGGGCTCCCACCTTCATTGTTTCTGATTCTGTAGGTCTGGTGTAGGGTCTGAGAATTTGCATGTCTAACAGGGCCCCAGGTAATGGCCTGAGATGATACCAGGCAGGGTACATATAACTTGGTGACTTGGAGCACTTATAAAGGCCAGAAGATGTGAATGAGTCAAAGATAATTGCTTGGTATTGAGCTCAAGGACCTAAAAGAATGGTGCTATTGAGAATGGACATGCTGAGTAGGTTGTGATAGTGAAACATCCAAAGTGTTTTACTAAAAACTGGAGATACAGGAATGGAATAGAGGTGAACAGATATGAATGTAGATAGATAACAGAAGTGACAGCTTTAAGAATGAATGAGCTTTGTAGGAGAAAGTTTAGAAAGATTGAATACTAAGTATTAGAAACTGCTGCTTGAAAAATGTCCATAGAAACAAGAAGGGAAAGCAGAAATCAGGAGTGATTCAAAAGATAGGAAGAGAAACACAGTACATAAGTACAAGAAGTGGGAGTTTCAAGGAGAGGATAGAAAGTACAGTCAAATG